AAGAGGAAGGGGGGAATTTTTTTTTCTACTCTCCTCCTCTGTCGGATTACATTTTTTTAAAAAAAATTTTTGCTTTATTAATATCTAAGATCTATCTCTGGGCTACACGTTCAGATGCTGGTGACTTATTTTTTCATCTCTGTCATGGAATGTAACGGGTGGAAATTGAGAAATGGACTTTGCTACGTTATGGAAACTTTTTGTGGAATTTAAATAGAGGTTTCTACAAACTGTTAATGGTTTGCCTTTTTTATGGGATTATAATTTTTTATTTTTTTCCTTTTGCTTTTCCTTGCTTCTAAACTTATATTGGATTACGAATCTGCTGTTGGATTTCTATAGCTGAGTGTTCCTTTATTTTATTTTTTTTCTCTTCATGTTGAACTTAACAGCTTGAGAATTGAGAATTGTTTATATATTTTATTATCTACTGTATATTTAGGAACAATAAGAGACAGCTTTCTATAGCTGGGTTATCACTGCTGTGTTGTTAGAGAACTTGGAAGAAAGCTGTTGCTATAGGATTATAACTGTTGTCCTTTGAAGATATTGAATTTCGCACTGTCAACAATGGCTTCAAGAGGGAAGAAGGATAAGGAAAAGGAAAGAGAATCAACAAGAACTTCTATAGAACCGGTTGAGGGGGTGGAGACATGAAAAAAGGATTAGATGCAATTGCTGCCTTAAGCCACCAGAGGGACCAAAGAGACACAAAAATGAATGGAAAAATGGACAACGTAAAGAAGGAATTGACTCAAGAATTGAGAAATGAGGTCCAGAAAGTGAAGGAAGTGGTTGATCATTTGTCAACTGACCTGAAGAATACTCAAGGACAGGTTCAGTTGTTAGAAATTAAGTCAGAAGCAGCCACTGATGGAAATTGATTGAAATTTAGATGCTATTGCATTAGCACAAATGAGGGAGAAAGAATTTATATTGAGATTGAGGTTAGTAATGGAAAATCCCGGGGAAGATGTAAGAAAATTGTATTGTCGAAGGCTTTCACAGCCGGAATACGATGGCTGGTGTGGGTCTTCCGGGTTGTGTGGCCGTGTTCTGGAAGTTTTGTTTCCT